AACCATTAATAATAGAGGCTAGGGGAATAGTGGCTTTTAGCAAAATGGAGTCACTTTGGTCTCACATTCCCCCCTTCTCATGATGCTATAGAGGACCAATCATGGGCCTCTAGGGGTTAATTCTATTAGGTCTGTTGGAACTGGCTGGTATTGGGACCTGAGTACCATCAGCTGTACAGTGTTAATGTGTTCTCTGATGAACAAGACCAATCTATTAAGTATATAAGGTCCAAGTGTTAATAATAGTAACAGAATAAGCAAGGGGCCCAGCAGAGTAGAGATCAGAGTAGTCAGCCATGGGGAGGAATTGAACCAGGATTCAAACCAATTTTGAGCTTGTTCTTGTTCTCGCTTTCGTTTAGCAATGCCTTCTCTAACTTTGGCCATAGATTCTTTGACCACTCCTGAGTGGTCTATATAAAAACAACATTTTTCACCCAAGGCAACACAGAGTCCTCCTTGTTGTAGAAAGATTAAATCTAGCCCCCTTCGTTGGAGGACCACCTCTGCCAAGGAGGTTAGGGACTCTTGTAGGTGGGAGATGGAACTCTCTAGCCTCTCAATATCTATATCTATGGCCACTCTCAGGTCATTGTAATGTCTGTTTTGTAACACTAGTGATGAAATTCCTGTTCCTGCCCCAGCTAGTCCCAAACCTAGGAGAACTGTCAGCGTGATGGCTGTTACAGGTTCTCGTTTAACCCTGGCTGGGGTCTCAGTCAAGCGACTCAAATGTCTTTTTCTCAGTGATATAATAGCCTAGGGACCAATTGTACTAATACACAGAAGTCTCCAGTTCCATTGAGCACTTCTCCATGTGCACAAGGGGTGAGCCCGGTGGAGCAAGCCCACCATCCATCAGAAGGGGGTACAAGATATTTTTCTGACCTAGACTGATAGGTTTGACCACAAAGGTGTTGGTGGGTGGTCAGAACACTGCCGACACAAGTTCCCTGTCCAGTTACTGATTGTAGGGTCAGCCTAGCTGTTCCCTTTTGTTGCCATCTACACTGGGTTGGACTGTCTGATTCAGTGAAATTGTCTAGATAAGCTATTGCCTCATAATAAGGGGGCTTGATATCATAGCATAACCAGCAGGACTAAGATCTGGTCTAGAGGCATCTAGGGCCTTAAAGGTGTGGACCATCAGTCCCCAGAGGGGGTCTTGGTCTTGGCCACGGTCGACTTTTTCGGCCTGGGTGACAATTTGAGCAGGGGGTAGAGACGTGGGTGTGGAGGCTGGATTTGGTATCCATATGGGGGCAGTTTCTCCTGGGAGCATAGGCAAGGTTTTCTGAGGAGGGGGCTTTGTGGGTCTAGGAGGAGCTAAGGGGACTAGCGCCAAATTTGGCCCAATTGGCTGGGGAGGCCCTACAATATGTGGCTCTATTTTTAATCTTACAGTGAATAATAACCCATTGTCATGACCATCTTGATATAGGCGGAGTCCCCATGTCTGGCCTGTTTCCCATCTGGTGTACTTTTTACCTTGGTCGGTAAATGAAAGTCTAACTGGGTTGCAAAGGAATCCTGTGCATGGACCGCTAAGCATGACTTTACCATTATGGCGGCTCGTTTGGAGGCCAGTGGGTCCGGGGACTCTTTTTAGGAAATTAAATCATCTGTGACAGGCGGAGCCCATGGGACGGAACCCGTGGACTCACATCCCCATTTTGCACAATAGAATTCTTCAGCTCCCCCACATTTTTCTGTTTGAGACCACGAACGTCTCTCTCCCGGGCAAACATAGAAAGGGGTATTTCACAAAACATTTCTTTCTCTGGGTTGGCCACACCCAGGGTCAAGTCCTCTTGGGGCCACAGGTAGGGACACCCAAGGGGGGATCGGACTATTGCATTGATTGATGTCTTTTTCACATATGGGCTCTCCCCCTGGCCCAATTTTCCAGTCTCCGATGGGCCAAGTCCCTACAGCAAGTTGACACAGATCTAAGTCTAGGGTGGGCCACCAAGACAGTGGTGGTGTCACTTTAGATGTACTATTAACAATATCACCCATGGATGTACTAATAATCATCCACGTTAGATTTAGGGGAGCATGTGGGTTTTGTCCTCCCAACACTGGTGTCAAAATCATAGTTACCATAATCATGACTGTCGTCGATGCAGTTTGAGTTTGAGAGGATTGTCGTGGTCCTTGGACACTCGCCATGATGGGATGTAGTCCTCTAGAACAGCGTGTGGATCTGCAGGGTGGACGTGAGTGTAGTGTACCCACGAGGCAATCCCGTCAACCTTGAGAGCGGTGGGCATGGTCAGGACAGTAAGGTAGGGTCCTTTCCAATGAGGCTCAAGGTCCTTCTGTCGATGTCTCTGGACAAAGACCCAGTCTCCCAGTCGGTATCGATGGGGCTCAGGAGGTGGTCCAGACTCATACAGGGCCTTCAATTTAGGCCTCATGAACACATTGGAGGCTTTTTAAAGAAAGTAACAGTTTTTGATCATCAAATTCAACAAGGACATTTGACTGAAGGTTGGGAGCAATGGGAGGGGGAATTCCAAACATTATTTCAAAGGGAGTCAGTCCCATCTTATAGGGAGAATGGTGTACCCTATAGAGGGCAAAGGGAAGGAGAGCCACCCAGTCACCGCCAGTCTCTAAGGTTAATTTAGTTAAGGTCTCTTTTAAAGTTCTATTCATTCTCTCTACCTGTCCTGAACTTTGGGGTCTGTATGCGCAATGTAATTTCCAATCTGCCCCCAATGCCTGTGCTAAATTTTGACTAACCTTGGAAATGAAGGCGGGTCCATTGTCTGACCCTAACATTACTGGGAAACCATACCTTGGCAAGATGTCTTCTAGCAACTTCTTGGCCACTATCTGTGCTGTCTCATGTTTGGTAGGAAAAGCTTCTGTCCATTCTGAAAAAGTGTCTACAAAAACTAGCAGGTATTTATAACCATATTTTCCAGGTTTTACTTCAGTAAAGTCCAATTCCCAGTATGCTCCATGTCAGTTCCCTCTTAGCCTATTGCCTGAGCTGGCTTTATTGTGGGCAGCATTTGTCAGTTGACAGGATTTGCAAGTGGCAACGATATGCTCAATTTTGGAATTGGCATCTAGAATCTTTATCTCAGAGTGTCTCAGGAGATCTTGCATTTTTCGAGTGCCCATATGGGTGGCCCAATGTATTTTGGAGAGAACTTGTTCTCCCAGTGCTTCAGGCAGGATAACTTTACAATCAGAGGACTTCCACCACCTGTTGAGGCGCTGGGGCATAGGTAATTGTTCTATCCACCTTAAATCTTCTTCAGTATACTGGGTTTTTTCTGGCAAGGCAGCACTTCCTGGATCAGGCAGCTGAGTGGTTAGTGTCAGATCAGCCTCTAGGGCTATTTTTCTAGCTGTCTGGTCAGCTAAATTATTTCCTCGGGCAATCAGAGTATTGTTCTTTTGGTGCCCGGGACAGTGGACAATAGCCAATTTTTTTGGGCAGCCATAGGGCCATCAGCAGGGCAAGAATTTCCTCTTTGTTTTTGATAGTTTTTCCCTCGGCCGTCAATAGTCCTCTCTCTCTGTAGATAGCCCCATGGATGTGTGCTGTGGCAAAGGCATACCGGCTGTCCGTATATATGTTTAGCTTTTGGCCCTGCCCCAGAGTCAACGCTTTGGTCAGAGCTATGAGCTCTGCCTGTTGGGCCGAGGTCCCGGTGGACAATGGTTCTGCCCAAATGACCTTAGTTTCTGTCACCACAGCTGCCCCGGCATACCTGCGGCCATCCTGTACAAAGCTGCTTCCATCAGTATACCAGGTGTTTTCAGCATCTGGCCATGGTTGGTCTCTCAGGTCAGCTCGAGTCCCATGTACTTGAGCTAGGATGTCAGCACTGTCGTGGAGCAGAGTCTCTAAGTCCGGGTCTGGCAACAGTGTAGCTGGATTTAAGGCAGCCGGGGTCTGAAAGACAACTCGGGCTGGGTTTAGGAGTAAGCCCTGGTAGTGGGTCAGGAGGGCATTACTGAGCCATCAATCTGGAGGCTGTTTTAGGATTCCTTCAATAGCATGGGGGATGGTTACGTATAGTTCTTGGCCCAGTGTCAACTTGTCAGCATCTTTTACCATCAGGGCCACTGCCGCAATCATTCTCAAACATGGGGGCCACCTGGACGCAACTGGATCAAGTCTTTTTGATAGGTACGCCACTGGGCGGCGCCATGGCCCTAGGTATTGAACTAACACCCTTTAGCGACGCCTTTGTTCTCATCAACATATAGGTGAAAGGGCTTGGTTATATCAGTCAGGCCCAGAGCGGGTGCCGACAGCAAGGCAGTCTTTATCTGATCAAATGATTTTTATAGTTTTTCAGTCCATTGGAAAGTCTGATTGTCTTTAGTTACCTCATAAAGGGGCTTTGCAAGTTCTGCAAACCCCGGTATCCACAAGAGGCAGAAGCCAGCTGATCCCAAAAATTCTCTAACTTTTTGAGAGGAATCTGGTGTGGGTATCTTAAGAACTGTTTCTTTTCTGGTGTCAGACAGCCATCTCTGTCCCTTTTTGAGTATATATCCCAAGTAGCTCACCTCAGACTTGCAGATCTGGGCCTTTTTGGCTGACACCTGGTACCCCAACTTTCTGATGGTGGCTAGTAGTCCTTTGGTTCCCTCAAGGCAGGCCTCCTGGGTTTCAGCTGCTATGAGGAGATCATCTACATATTGTAACAGAGTCATTTCGGGGTTTTGGAGGTGGAACTCACCCAGGTCTTCATGCAGGGCCTCGTTGAAGATGGTGGGAGAATTTTTGAACCCCTGAGGCAGCTGAGTCCAAGTCAGCTGTCCATTGAGGCCTTGTTCAGGATCACTCCACTCAAAGGCGAAGATGTGCTGGCTCTTGGGCGCCAATGGAAGGCTGAAGAAGGCATCTTTCAGGTCTAGGACTGTATACCATTGATGACTCAGTGACAGGGAACTCAAAAGGGTATAAGGATTAGGTACTGTGGGGTGAATGTCCGTAGCTCTCTTATTTACTTCATGGAGGTCCTGTACTGGTCGGTAGTCATTTCAGTGTGGCTTCTGCACTGGTAACAAGGGGGTATTCCAGGCCGATTGACAAGGCCTTAATATCCCTTGTGCTAGTAACCTCCTAATGTGCGGGGTTATTCCCTGTCAGGCTTCTAGGGACATAGGATACTGGCAAACATGGACAGGGTCTGTTCCAGGCTTTAATTCTATATATATAGGTGGTCTGTGTACAGCCAGTCCCATGCCCCCAGTTTCAGCCCAGGCTTGTGGGAACATTGCAAGCCACTTGTCCATCTCAGGGCTTGGTGGAGATGGCTCTTGGTGTAACCAGTATTCATCTTCTATGTTTACAGTTAACACTTGAATTGGTTTGCCTTCTTGATTAAGGACTTTCGTACCCGCTAGTTGAAAGTGAATTTGGGCTCCCAATTTGGTGAGCAAGTCTCTTCCCAGTAAAGGATAGGGGCAGTCTGGTATAATCATAAATGAGTGGGTTACTTGGCCTACTCCCAAATCTACCGTTCTCTGGGTAGTCCATGAATACTTTTTCATGCCTGTGGCTCCTTGGACCCAGGAAGTTTTATCAGAAACATGGCCTTGAGGTTTGAGCAGGACAGAATGTTGAGCCCCTGTATCCACTAGGAACTCGACAGGTCTCCCCTCCACTTTTAGGGTTACCCTGGGCTTGCGGAGGGGTGCTGAACTGTGTCCCCCCTAGTCACTAAGTTCATCTACAGCCGGGATGGGGGCCTTGGGGCGACTTTCCTGTTGTTTTTTCTTGGGGCACTCCTTGGCCCAGTGGCCTTCTTCTTTACAATGAGCACACTGATTTTTTCCTAACTAGGGGTGCTCCCTGTGTTTTCCCTTACTTTCTCCTCCCACCACAATCTTTCTCAGTCTATGTTTGTGTTCCTTTGGTTCTCCTGCAGTGGCGGCCAGAAGGATCCAAGCCAGATTTCGAGTCTGGTGGTCATCAGCTTTCTCTCGTTTCTCCTCTGTGGTTTCTCTATTGTTATACACTCTCTCTGCCACTGTCACCAAGTCCTGAATACTTTTCTCTCCCATTCTTTCTACTTTCTGTAACTTTCTCTTAATATCTGGCGCCCCCTGGTTGACAAAATGTATTATTACAGCTGCCTTAGTCTCATTCGCCTCTGGGTCCATAGGAGTATACCTACGGAAGGCTTCCTGAATTCTTTCTAGGAAGGCTGCAGGGCTTTCGTTCAGCCCCTGCTGTACATCTCCTACCTTGGCCAAATTAGTGGGCTTCCGAGCCGCTGCTTTGAGACCTCCCAACGGAGCCTGGCGATAGGCCTGGAGTCTCTCCTTACCTTCTGCTGTATTGAAGTCCCAGTCGGGCCGGGACAAAGGAAAAGAAGTGTTGATAGTTTCAACATTGGTGGTGGGTTGACCATTGTCACCAGGAACCAATTTCCTGGCCTCATTTTGGATCCTTTCTCGCTCCTCTGTGGTGAACAGGATCTGGAGGAGTTTTTGACAGTCATCCCAAGTGGGCTGATGGGTGAACAAAACAGTTTCTAATAGGTTAATCAAATCTCTAGGGTTATCAGAGAATCTGGTGTGTTGAGTGAGCCAGTTATAAAGGTCACTGGTGGCAAAGGGCCAGTAGTGATGAGGCTGGTTACCATGCTCATCAGGGGGCCCTATCGCTCTCAAGGGGAGAACAGTAGAATCTGCTGGTCCTGCCGGCGAGGCAGCACGTTGGTGGAGAGTGTTCTGGGCGGGGCCATCCCCACCACTGACACTCGGAGCTGGAGCCAGCCCTCCCTCTCCAACTCTGGCCGGGGCCGGGGCTTCTCTTTCTGCCTGTTGTCTGGGGGGGGGGAAGAGAGAGAGTCGTAAGAAGGGGGGAAAATAAGATCTTCTTTGGTCTCTCCTTGGAGGACCGGGTAAAGCGGCGCGGTCGGCTTGGTTTTGGTTTGTTTTTTCTCGTCGCACTCTCTGGGAGTCTTTTCACAGGCTGTCAGGGTTACTTTCGGCTGCTGTTTCTGTGGAGGCAAAAAGGGCTTGACCCATGGGGGTGGGTTATAGATTAGACTCTCCCAAGTGATAATGTAGGGAACCTGGTCAGGATGTAAGACAGCTCTACGGACCCTGAGTGCAATCTGTAAATCAAAAGTTCCCTCTGGGGGCCATCCTACACCAAGGGTGGGCCACTCCGAGCTACAGAGGGTAATGAATTTAGTCTTTTTAATTTCTAAGCTTAGGTTATGAGCGCGCTCCCTAACTTTTTTAAAATGGTCCTTCATAAGGGATAGAGGGGTGGTCACAGTCTGTCCCATCGTCTCAGTCCAAGTCAACACAATAAACAGACAAACAATACACAACAAAAAGCAAAAAGCAAGACAAAACCGTCCTCCGCCCGATTGAAGACAGCACTGGAAGTGGGACGACGGCCTCGTGCTGTACCGCGGGAGTGACGCGCACCATCCCTCAACGAGTCCCAGCGACTCGTGCTCATGGGCCACTCCGTCCCCCCCAGAAGGATCTGGAACGTCTTCCAGGATCCCAGGTCAGCGGCCCTCGCAGCGTGTCCGCCCAGACCGTCTGCCGACCTTCCCAGAAAAATGGGCCCAGACTTTACAGACACAAAAACACTCACCAGCCAGCATTGACCCTCCGGTACGGGGATCCTGAGGGTCTTGGGAATCCCGGATGAGCCCCCAAATGTTGTGCTCAGATTGTGAAGTCCCAAAGACCACCAGGAAGCCGTTTCTGATGCAAGCACATGAGGGTCGTTTATTCAAGCTCGAGCAGGGGCTCTCAACTGTCACCGACGCAGCGGGTCAGGATTGAGAGCCCCGCATTTCAAATTAGCGGGGTTTTTACTAAAGTTACAGCAAGGTTTGGGGATTTTCCATTTAGCAATCACATGATTGGTTGGCATTTAGCAAGCATGAAGTGTATACTTCTGATTGGCTAGGCCCATTGGCGGTTGAGGGGTGATTACATATAGGTATAGGTTTTATGAGGGAAAAGAGGGACAAAGGTTAGTGGCTGACTGTCAAGTACTGGCAGTCAGTAGACACAATGGCTAATGGTCACGACCATTAGGTACTGATGGTCGTCACAATGACAGATTGTTTTACAAATAGGGGGCCCAGAACGTTTATTTCCTGGGCAAACAGATGGTTGAGCAATTAACTTAAGAACTTTGCTTTGTTACAGAGTGTGTCTTTTGTCCCAGAGCAAGCACATTTCAACCATTAATAATAGAGGCTAGGGGAATAGTGGCTTTTAGCAAAATGGAGTCGCTTTGGTCTCACAACAAGAGGCACAGAGACAGGGGTGTCTGCAAATATCAAGGGATGCCTGGACATATGGGACCTCTGACCATTTTTCCAGCCAGTGGCAATAATTGTGTAGTTCTCAGAGAATTGAAAAGTTGAAAGTGTCATTTTTAGGCCATTTCAACTCCTTATCTAGCTTGTATTGTGGCCAGACTGAATTACAAAAGAAAATGAGACATTTTGGTTTCAGGTCAGAGGAAGAGGAGATGGAGAGGTTTGAGGTTTTTGAGAACACAAGCCAGGGGAGAAGAAGGGGGAATAGAGGAAGGGAGATTGTCTATAGTGATATCTGATACCAGAAACTGGGGTTTTGGGGAAAAGGAAAGAACATCTTTAATCAGTTTCCCAAAGCTGACAGAGTGGGCGGGCAACAAAGTCAGGCATCCCTGAGATTGGGTGGCTGTCAGGGAAGCCAGGCTCCTGAGAGTGTGACCAGTACTGGGTTGTGAGTACACTTTGAGCCTGAGCAGTGGACACTCTGAGCACTGAGCCTGAGCACTTTGGGTGAGGGGGTGACAAGAGAAGGGTGAGCAGACCTCATCTAAGGTGAGAGGGAGTGAGATTCCAGGTAGACCTTGTCTGGGGTGAGAGGGAGTGAAATAAGAGGCAGACCTCACCTAGGGAAAGTGGGGGGAGTGAGAACCTGGGTGGACCTCATCTAGGGAGAGGGCATGAGATCCCAGGTGGACCTCATCTAGGAAGAGGGTGTGAGATTGCAGGTAGACCTCCTCTAGGGAGGGGGATTGAGATTCCCACCTGTTTGGTAGGGTGAAGAGGGAAAGTAAAAGAATCACTAACCCAACCTGAAGAGAGGACCTGGACTAGCAGCCAGCCATGGCAGGAAGAGGTCAGAGGTCAGAGGTTGGGGGTGGCCTCAAAGTCCTCAGTGGGATTTGGGAGAGGGAGCTCAGACACTGCTGGGAGAGGAGCTCAGACCTCTCTTTATGGGTGACCAAATATAATATCAGACAGAGGCATGATTGAGACCACCACCAAGCCAGGCAAAATCTAAGCAACATGGGATGAATTTATTGCCATCTGGGTGCAGATGGGCCAAGGGTGAGAAGGCTGTTGGCACCAAGAGGAGGGTGTGTGGGTTTGATATGGGGCAATTTAGGTAGAAGAGGGGGCACTAGTTGAGAAGGTGGAAAATTTTAGAGTCCCATGGGTGATGGTTCTGGGGCTGGCTGATAAACGGTGCAGTGGTGAGAGCAGCAGGGTGGCTGCTGTCTTCCTGTTATCTCTGCTTCTGTGGATATGGGTAGCAGGTCTGCTTGGGTGGAGGCCTGGCTCGGGTGGGGGGACCTGTCAGAATTTTTAATCTTTTAAAATATTGGGAACATATTTCAAATCATATAAACATCCAATAAAAGGAGAATAGTGTTAAAATAAATTATGTTCAGCATAGTGGTGCATGCCTGTGACCCCAATACTCCAGGAGGTAGAGGGAGGAAGATTGCTAGTTTAAGCCCAGCCTGGTCAATTTATTGAGACCTTATCTCAAAACAAAAACAAAAGCAGGGTTTGGGACATAGCCTTGGGTTCAGTCCCAGTATAAAAAGAAAATTATGGCATGGCTACATAAGAGACTATCATGCAGCCATTTTAAAGTCAGATTTTGTGGGATGCTGAATCCAATTGAACTGAAGTGAGCAATAAAGGATGTGATTATCCATACACACTGTTAAAGAAGTCCTAAGCTAGATAGCAGTTAAAGCAATCGAAACAAATTTTATTTATGTGCCACTTCTAGAAATGAGACCTCAGTATATTACTGGGCTTAATTCTGTATAGAAATAAAAGTGGTGGGGCCCGGGATGTAGCTCAGTGGTGCCAAGCCTGCCTGGAAAGTGCAAGGTCCTGAATTCAATCCCCGGTACCGAAAAAAGAAAGAAAGAAAGAAAGAAAGAAAGAAAGAAAGAAAGAAAGAAAGAAAGAAAGAAAGAAAGAAAGGTGGTAAATTGTAAAAGCATGTTGAAAAAGGAATCATTTTGTGTTTGGAAAATTATTAAGAGGAGGCATCCAGGGTGTGGGAAACTCTGACCAACAGGATGGTTGATTGTGGAGAGCAAAAGGTTGAAATAACCTTGAGAGACCTCTGAGTCTCTTGAGAACATAATGAATCCTGGATATGCAGCTGGCACAAAAACAAGGATGGTTACTTGTAACGAGAGTGGTTAAATAGAAAGAGTTCGAATGTCTGCAGTGCAAGGGAACGTTATTCCCGGAGTTGTAAGGATACATTTGACCTTTTCCCTGGAAAATAATTAGTTGCCGAATTATGTACAGAGGAGGGGTTGGGGGTTGTGGAAAAGGTATATAAAGGGCAATAAAGTGGAAAGGGTGTCTCCTCTGCCTCTCTCTCCTTTTTCTTTTCCTCAGAGGTTGTGTTTTTCTTTCATCCTCTCCCCTCCTCTCAGGTACTGTTCGGCTAGTGACGGCTGGCACCGTCACAGTTGATAAGAATGTTGGAGGAAGAGGCCTTGAGAAATAACAGTTCCCAGGCTTCCAGAAAACATGATTGAAGATTAGAACAGGACAACAGTCAGCAAAATCAGTATTAGGTTATTCTTAAAAGATTTTTGCTCTGATCATTGCATTTCTCTTGCCCTTTGATATGCTTCCTGCCCAATAAGTTTGCTTAAACTAGGTTAACATACATCATTTAGCAGGACATCCTTTTCTGGTCTTATTCCCCTGACTAAAACTCCTATATAATATGTTACAATTGTTTTTCTTTTTTCTTTTTCTTTATTTTTTTTTGAGGTAAGGTCTTTCCCTTTGTAGTTCAGGCTGGCCCTGAACTCACTGTGTAGCCTAGGCTGGCCTCAACTCAGTGATCCTCCTGACTCAGCCTCCCAAGTGCTGGGATAACAGGTGTGTGCCACCACGCCTGGCAAAATTTTTTTTTTTTTGGTACTGGGGATTGAACTCAGGTCTTTGCATTTGCGAGGCAGGTGGCGGAGCCACTGAGCTAAATCCCTGACCCTCTTTTTCTTTTTTTAATGGTGCCAAAAGTTTACTTGAAAAGTGCAGGGTGAATGGGTATGGAAGAAACCAGATCTGCAGAGCAAACCTGGGCCAAACAAACAGGAAAAGAAAAAATGAAAGTATATACCACATCTGAGAAAAGTGGCATGGTCTATCATGGAAACTCATGATAGCAGCTTTCCATGATGGCCTGTCTTATTTTATGCCATCCACATCTTGTGGGGGCTCATGAGAAGTTCTACATACAGGATCCTGGTGTTGCCTTGGGATCTTGCAATTGACAGGTCCTGCTTATTTCCCCAGGCAGCTTTGGTATGCCTTATCTCCTATATCATTTTCCCCTGAGAGACATAAATCTCATAAATATTTATGGGGTGCTGAAGGAGTAGTGCTCTCTATCTTCTATAGTTTCTTCAAGCTGGAAGGGTCTGTAGACCCCACCTATTCAGGATTATGTACTCTCCAACAACTTGGGGTGTTGTGGATTGTGTCTGGGTTGAAGAAAGAAAAGCCTGTCAGAAAATAAGGTGGAAAAGAGTTAGTGATCATTGAGCTACTCTTTGACAGGAGAAAGAAACTTTACTTTTAATCCAGATGTGAGGAACAGGTCAGAATTCCACACTTACTGCAGATAAGAATGTATTTTAGAGGTATGTCAGATAAATTATCAAGAGTCTGGGCTGGGGATTTAGCTCAGTGGCATTGAGCCTGCCTTGAAAGCTCAAGATCCTGAGTTTGATCCCCAGTACCAAAAATAAATAGATAAATAAATAAATAAATTAAAAAAAAAAAGAGTCTAAGACCCATGGCCTTAGCAAGGTCTTGTTTACTTATCTGTATCAGTACTGGAGCTTTGGTTTTTGAAGAGAAATTCCAGGTCTTCCAGAGGTTCACATGAGTAGTTTTTTCCTTTTGGATGATCTTGTTCTTTAGACAGTTCAGGTAGGACTGCCTTAATTTAGACAGAGGAATCCAATTATCTATCCCTGTCACCTTTACTGCAGTAGGTGTTGCAAGGATGGCTTAAAAGACACCTTTCCATTTTGGCTTTAACTGGTCTGCTGGTGTTCCCTTAATACAAAAATTTAAACCTTTAAGCCTTGAAGACCCAAGACTCTTATCCTGCTTAAACCTATACAGGAACACACA